GATATGTGGTATTACCATCATTGAAGATACATAAATCATTGTTTGAGATAAAATCTTCAAGGACCTTTCCCTTATTATTTATGTCAGTGCTCCCCCATAGGGGATTATGACCGTTTAAATCGCTCATGATGATACAGGGCTTCGGGAGCTGATCGTACAAAGTCTGAAGATCTGATTGACGGATAGTTGAGGAAGGTGGAAGAGACAATGAACATAATGTAAACACTATGTTCAAAGTAACACGGACAGCAACGGCTTGTAGAGTAGTATTGAGTGGAACAGGGCTATGGATAGTGCCCAATTCAAATAGATCTGTGTTTTTTAGATATGTTTCTTGGAGACAAAAAGCTGACGGTTTAAAATCTTGGATTAAAAGTTGTATTTCATTAAAATTCTTCTTAAGACCTCTGCAATTCCATTGTATTATATTTTGTGGATTCATGGTGGTGCTTCCACGGGAGAAATGTCACGCGAACGTGATGAAGACTTTGTGGCACTCCTATTGGTATCATGTGGAAATGGAGTTACCTCCATGTCCAGAGGTCCAAAGGAGTTATGGACCTCTACTGGGACCTCTAAAGGAGAGGTGGCCTTTGGTGTTTGCAGCTGTTCTCTCAGATGCTTCTTTTTCAATAATTTCTTTTCCCTGTTTGACAGTTTAACTGGTTCTGGTTCTGATGTTGCTTTAGGAGTCTGAGACTCAACATTTGTTACAGTTTTTTGTTTAGGAGGAGTCACAGACGTAGGTATCACAGCTGGTTTAACGAGTGAAGCAGTAGGAAGTGGCTGCACAGACTTGACCCATGTCAGATCAGTCTGGCAGTCGATAGAGGCAGTGGTGACAGGAGGACGAGAGACAGCAGCAGAGTACGAGATAGAAGAAGTGGTTGCAGTAGAACCTGCAGCCCTCTTCTTAGCTTCATAGTAGGAGAGGTTTTGCTCAGTCTTGATTTTCATGATCTGTAATTCATGTTGCCAGACAGGGCAGGATTTGGAAGATGCCATATGGTTCCCACCACAGTTTGAACACTTCACACCCTTCCTGCAGTCAGTCGCCTCACGTTTGTCACCGCAGCGGTAATAGACAGCAGAGGCACGGCAGTACTTGGATCCATGTCCAAACGCTTGGCAGGTGTAGCACCGGAGTGGATTGGGGATATACACCTCCACTCCGATGTTACAATAACCGGCTTTGATTGATTGTGGAATCTTCGAACGGGCGAAAGTGAAGAGATAGGTGTTGGTATCTACAACCACACCATCCTTTTTGACCGTGAATCGTTTAACAGGTGTGACAGACTGTTGGACAAGTTCTTTGACTATTTCATCCTCGGTCATGCCGGACAGGCAGCGAGCCCTGTCACGGACAATTCCCTTGCATGAGTTTAGTGTCTTGTGTTCAGAGACAGCAACCTTGATATTTACAAACTCTTTCAAACCGAGAAGATTGATGGATTGCTGTCTCTGTGCACATTCCACAAGGAGAGAACCGGATCGAAGCTTGGTGACATTTGTAACCTTTCCGCAGGCACCAGCGATACCTTTGGAGATTGCAAACGGATTTAGCTTTATTGGTTCTTTGTCACAAGCTTCGATAATCAAAAAACGTGGCCAATAGTCAGATCGGTTGTTGGTATTTTCGTCAGGTGAATTGTCAGATTCAGTGTATCTACGTTTTGAACCAGGGTGTTGGGAAGCCATGTCGAAAGGAAAATGATTCGGCACCCCTTTTCCCCACCCACCATGGAGTGTCTACAAGGACAGTCTTATGCTGCAGCGGATTTCCAAGCTGCAAAGACTTGGGATAAAGGGGTGATGTACTCCAGCAAATTTGACACGAAGAGCTATAGCATTCTACCAAATTAAAGGTACAGAATTCGGAGGTCAGCATCACCAGATTGGCCCATGAGCCACCGCCTTCTGGGCATCAGGCTCTAAGCAAGTTTTATAGATTGTTAGATATGATATACATTTAGGTTAAATTTATTTTTTTAACATGAAAAGTGTGCATGAAATATTTTATGCACAGGGCATGACGTGACCAGCCGATTGCTAGAATCGGGCCCTTTCTAACGCCGGTCTAGGCAAAGTTAGGGTGGAAGTAGTGTTATGGACTAAGGAGCACTATTGCCGGCTCCGTCGCCCTCAACCACCAGAATCCCTTCCTCTGTGATTAACAATATGCTCCGAGTCAATACATTTTGTCAAATGTATGACATGTATTACGTGAATGAACATATTGTTTATACTCGTCCATGTTTTTGACGGACAATATAATTTACATGCTCGGTAAAAGTGAGGACGGGCATCATTGTGTGTTTCCGTGCTTTGTTCAGGTGAACAATTGACTTGTCCTTGCATGTGTTTGTGACGAGTGCCACTTGTGTGGCAGGATACGCTCACCTTTTCCCGAACACCCATTGGATGACCTGAACCACTTTTATCCCACATCAGTCTGATACACCGTGATATAACTGAAATTCTGAAATACTGTACAGTTGAACATGATGTTTAATGCGATTACCGTAGTGTGTTACTGCAACTGTTCAAATTCTGTGCAGTGATGTTATGTAATATGTAAAAGAAAGCATATTCAATTATCCAATTGATTTGAATAGAATATACTTGCGTCAGTGTATTTTATTAACGCCCCAAACCGTAATTTAAACACATAAAATAACAGATCACGCATGGTGCCTTGACTTACTACTAGATTTAATAGGCCATCCCGGAATAAAATGGTTCCCCCCAAAGCGAGGAACATATGTTTTAGTATGTTTACAAGAAATATATTCCAAACAATATCCTCATTAGATGAGAAAATCTTTTACAGAATTACCTCAGTAAGTCAATTTCCATGACAGAGCGTCGTAATACATTTACATCAAGTACAATACGTCAAAATGGCCGACACGATAAACGTGACGGGAGATATTTTCGAAGTTGTTAATTAACCTGTGGCTATTTCAAGGCTGTGTCACCACTGATCAATTGGCCGATCATTGAAAGGTGATTGTGAAGATGTGTCAAATAGATACTAAGGTAAATTAATAGATTTCTGTAAATTGTCACTACGACAGTGGATTTTTTTTCGTGTTTTTTTTTCTCTGGGAGGGGTTGTAGTGAGGGTATCCTTAAATGGGCTTGCAACCACGCTTCTGTATGAATTCGTTCCAGGGAATTCCAAGGGTTTTCCCCAGGAATGTGGAAGTAGTCAGTGTTTACGCCATTTCAAGAATACAGTCACGTGAAGAACGTCATGTGACCGACCTCTCGTCCAAGCCGTATATCTTGTAAACTTCACATTAAAAAATTAGTTATTGTTATAACCAAATGAGACACATCCCATTATCCGATAGGGGGAACTGTACATAGCCGAGGGATATGTTACCACAATAAACTTAGCAACATTGTTTGGTTTGACTTCTTGGCGCGTGTCTGAATTCCATTAACATGTTACATATCCTAAAACTAGCTTATCAGCAAATCTAGCTGCACTGCGCGCGACAGATACTAGAGCAAGGCATGCCAGAAATACGAAACCTAAAGCTTCCGAAAGGAAGCCTTGGCCATCACGTGCGTCGGGGGACCAGCGCCATCTGATTGGCCGTTAACAATTGTTCAAGGCGGAGCAAAAAGCATCGTTTTTCCGTCCATTTTACGCTTGAAAAACTCGACCCTTTTCTGGACCCTTTCTAGACGCTGACCAATTAATCAATTTTAATGAATTTTTAGTCGTTTTTCCGTCCAATGACCATATACGGAAAAAACGACGTGAAAATGAGGTATTATGACATGTGACAAAGACAGGCCAGACCCGAATACTATAAAATGATGCCTTCAACATTAGGAGAAGAGAGCGTGGTTTGCAATTGATCGAGTCGTTCTAAGTTTTCCCTAGTTAGTGACGAGTCTGGCCGATCTGATCCTGTCCTGTATTGATAGATGGACTGAGAGTGAGTATAAAGCTGGTGTTGCGTTTCTTTATTATGCGAGTACGAATGCTGATAGAGACAACTTGGAGTAAGCGTCCTTAGACCAATCACTCTTTGACGGAGCCGAGCCCGTGCTGACAAGGCGAATTGAAGAGTCATGGCGTAATTGACCATGATGACCAGGAACGGCAATACTTTCAGTAACTGTAGTAGGGTCGCACTTGACGCCCGAAAGCAGTTACGACATTATGTCCATATCATCAAGTGTATTTTAATGTCAACTTCTATTTTAACCCCGGAGCCCTAGTCCTTGCTCAACCATCAAATCTAACCTGCTTAACTATAACAACAGAACCGTCACCATTGCGCTAGCTTTCTCTATTGTTTCTTTGGGCTTCTAATGTCTGGCTCCAGCTCATTATTTAGTGACAGGGTGCCTTATGGGACTGGTCAGCATGTTTATACTTACATTTGAGTCTGTATTGAAGCAAGTTCACTTTTCACTGCTGGATAAAATCGTCATTTGTCACAGGTTAGTTAATGTATGAATTGTATATTTATGCGTTCGAATTTCGTGTTTTGTTATTATAATGGTTTTCTAAGATCCATATGTATGATTTCTTAACTTCTTTTAATAGTGTTGATAATGGTAGGTGCTTTTAATATCAATCACATCAGTTTTATTCAAGTACATGTAGTGTTACTAGGATTTATTAAATACTTTACTTATGTAAGTTTATTAAAGCTAATCTTAAATAGCATTCTCATGTGGATGTTACTTAACTTATTAAATGAATTTCTTTCCTTTCTTACATATGTATTAAACAACTGACATCCGAACATCAACCTGCGTTTGTGTGATATATTCACAAAACTATTCCAGTTACACAGTACTGGTATGGATTATACCACCTAAAGAATATATCCCTCTGTTTGACAACAAAATCCTTAATACTGTGGTGAGCCTTATTTCTTGTTTGTCATTTAATTGTGTTTTTGAGCTGAGTGTTGTGTCAATGAACCAAAGATAAATGCATGAAGACGATTGTAGCTTGATTAATATACCTTCATCTTCGTCACACGTATCACCTCTGTAGTTTCCTCTGCAACCTGTTGTGCACTTCCCAGTTTGTTGATGACAACTATGGTTAATGCAATTCTTGCTACAAGCGGTAGAGCAATCCTCACCACTCCATCCAGAAACACAACCATGTCGGCATTTTCCGCTGTGTTTATCACAAAAGGGACTGTAGTCGGTATGAGAGAGGCATTTAGCATTGCAACGCTTGTCGCAACGTTTTCCAAAGAATCCCAGATCACAATGTCTCTCCCGAGATACTCCTGAAACTGCAACACAACAAATAGTAATCAATTGTTTGTAGATGGGCACCTGTACATGAAGCAAAAGTCATTTATCAACATCACAAAGAACGTACAGGGGGTGTAGATATCGCTAGGGGTGTTTTTGAAATTGTTACTGCATTAATTGTTTGAACCACTCAACCCATAGCCTTCGTTCATTTCTTTTATGTGTATTATAACAACTGACATCGAAATATCAACTTGTGTTTGTGTGATATAGTCACAATAATCTATATTATGTATTAATCTGTGATGTATTTGACATTTGCATACCATATTTTCTGCATAGTTTTGTACAGTGCACTTTGTAGTTTTGATCATATCAGCCGGTCATTGATTAGTCAGGACATTAGTAAATAAGAGCATTAGTTAGTTATGTCATTAGTTAATCATTTCCTTAGTTAGGGGCATAGATGTCTCACCCGTCAAAGGCGCAGCATTTGCTGTACACTGTTACTGTACAATTTTGCGCCCCTTGGGCACACAGGGGGCGGTCGAGTAGCCTAGTGGTTTAAGCGTTCGCTCGTTACGCCGAAGACCCGGGTTCGATTCCCGACATGGGTACAATGTGTGAAGCCCATATCCGGTGTCCCCCGCCGTGATATTGCTTGAATATTGCTAAAAGCGGCGTAAAACCATACTCACTCACTCACCCCTGGGCACACAAGATAACTTGGGCACACACGATATATCACTTCAGGCTTTTCTCCCACATTGTGTTGGCATGCCGTGTTATGAATGGAATCCTGTTCAAAACGGCGTTGAACCCTCACTAACTCACTCATTTCTTTAGTTAGTCTACTGATTATTTATTTGGTTAATTTGTTAGTTTTCTGGATAAGTAGTGAGTTAATTAATTGTGTTATCAGTTTCATATGTATTCAAAAAACAACCTTTTATTTAGTTAATGTAATATATCTGTGTTTGCTTGGAAGAAGCATGCCTGTTGAGCACCTACATATTATTCACACTATTATATACTGAACCGCAAAAGATTCGTCACCCCAAGTAACATTGCTAGAAAAGTTGTCATTTAAATATCTGGGTATTTTTTGTCAAAGTTTCTTAAATTTAACATTACCTTGTCCGGAAAAATGAAATTTGATGATAACCGATCGCCCAAACGCATCACGACAACGGCCATGGTAACCCGATGCACGTGAGTCCGATGCAAATTGAAATGCACATGCTTTCCCCCATTTCGTGCACAATAAAAATCCACCCAGATCGGATAACATTCATTCGTCATTGAATTGCCTCCACATGCCAAGATTGACAAGAAATCAGCGACCCCAAGCCCTTGGGCGATTGCAAGCTGGACAAACCGCCCGGCAAGTAGCCAATGCATTTCAAGTCCACGTAAGGACCATATACAGGCTCTGGCGACACCGTGGGGAGTGTTATTCGGATGCTTGTGTTGTTGAGAGAGTCTCGTGGGGTGGTCCGAGCATCTAGTGTTGGGTGGAATTGGTCTTGCACAGAGGTCCAGGGAGAGGCAATGGTGTCACAGCAGCTAGGCACATTGATCAAGTCTTGAGACCACACGCCACACCTCATTTGGCACGTCGCCGCAACCACGAGTTTCAGCATGATAACGCCCGTGCACACACTGCGAGAGCAACAAGAGACTTCCTCCAGCAAAATGGCGTCATAACCATGCAGTGGCCTGCCCTCAGTCCCGATTTAAATCCCATTGAGCACTTGTGGGACGAGGTTCAAAGACGGCTGAATGACGTCCGACCAAGGCCGACAACTGCAGCTGAACTGCGTCAGGCGTTCCTCAGAATGTGGGCTCAAGTGCCTATGGGTCAAGTGCCTATTTCAACCTTGATGATCAGTTTTGCCAAGTTTCATCTTTGTAATATGTCTGAAAGTATGCTTACAGTGTTTGGACAAATAAGGTTTCTCATATATCTGTCCATGGTGACGTTTCTTTTGCGGTTCAGTGTATAAACAATAAAATCACAATGTAATTTAAATCAGCTTCCACTTAATCTATAAGCAGTTAGATTATAATTGAGTTTGTTTACATTCAGTTAGTCATGTAGTTTATTGGTGGTGTCCTGATTGAATTGTATATGATTGGTCCATATTTCTTAACATGTTATCCCCTTTCTTTGCGTCGGCAGCAGTCGCACAGCTCACACCTGCATACCATTACTAACTTTTATACTTGTAAATATATAATGTACACGTATTTCATATCCAGTGGTCCATTCAAAACAATAGTCTTTTGTTTAAGGTTAGTGTATACACAATTGTTACACGTGTCATAGATTGCAATTGTTTCCTTTATAATACTACGCACAAAAATTATGGGAACACCCCTAAATTGAATAGCCATGTATAAAACTTAACGTGGCTTGATCATTTATGAACTTCAGTAAGTTTCAGTAAATTTTTTTATGCTTTGAGGGCACTTAAAATTACGTGTTGAGTCATGCTTTTTTGCAAGTGCTTTATTTTTTGAAGAATTTGGTCAAATTGATTAAATGCTAAACCAGAAAAACACTTGGGTGCAGAAAGACTCCCTCGCCATGTCAGATTCAAACGCCAAAACACAACAACCTAGTGCACGTGAAAGTCAGAATTTCCATGCAGTTGGTGGCAAGTTTTCTTTATAAAGAAGCTTCAGACACTGTGAAGTTACACATTTCCTTAAACATGCCCCAGCGAAGACCGTTAAGCGTTCACGACAGGAGTAGGGCCATAGTGTGGCTACAAGATGGTGCATCCATAAGGAATGTTGCGCGTCGTCTTCATGTGTCACCGTCTGTCATTAACAGACTGAGGGAACGGTTCCAGACAACAGGGAGAGTGCAGGACAGACCGCGTTCTAGTAGACCCAGAGTAACATCTAGGGCAGATGACCGATACGTTGTGCTGCAAGCCCTTCGGAACCGGTTCACAATAACCAGTGCTTTGAGACTGCACCTCCGACAAGCAACACACACCAACGTAAGCGTATCGACCATCAGGAACCGCCTGAGAACTGCTCATTTAAGGTCACGTCGTCCAGCTGTTCGTCCTTATCTTCGTCCTCATCACCGAACTGCAAGACTTGCCTGGGCCAGGGCACATTTGAGATAGGATAATCAACAATGGTCCAGAGTTCTCTTCACTGACGAGTCCCGTTTCTGTCTTAAGCATAATGATGGAAGGGTAAGGGTTAAGAGACGTCCTGGAGAACGTTATGATGATGCCACTGTACGAGAAAGAAACAGGTTTGGCGGTGGCTCTGTGACGGTGTGGGGAGGCTTCAGTTTGCATCACCGAACACCTCTCTTTCTTGTTCAAGGCAATTTGAATGGAGTGAGATATCGTGACGAGATTTTACGCCCTCTTGTCCTACCACAGTTGAACAACGTTGGTCCAAGAGCAGTCCTGCAAGATGACAATGCCAGACCACATCGGGCTAGAGTCGTTAGAGACTTCCTGCAACAGAACAATGTGACTGTGATGCAGTGGCCAGCATATTCACCGGATTTGGCTCCAATTGACCATCTTTGTGATGTTCTGGGACGACGTGTCAGGGACAATCATGGAGTTGCACCAGCTCTTCAGGTTCTGGTTCAGTGGCTCCAAAAGGAATGGCAGGCGATTCCACAGGCTACCCTTCGCACCCTTGCAAGATCCATGAGGCGAAGATGCACCGAATGCATCAATCAACGTGGAGGACGCACTCGCTATTGACATTTTGATTTCCATTTTTGACTCCCACTTTCTTATTCGACTTGTTCATGTGTGCTTTTAAATGACAGTTACCTGTAAATGTTTTTGTTTTGAAGCTTGATAATCTGCTAATGCACAATTGTAATGATACGATCACATGTCATTAAATGTTCCTTTTTATAACATAATATTTTGGTGTTCCCATATTTTGTGTGTGTAGTATATATAATTCTATTTAGTGCTAGTTGTTGTACTACGAATTGGTATGTCTGACCAAATGTCAAAGAGGAATTGGTCAACTTGTTGCAACATTTCAGCAGCTTAAGGTAAAACCTGAGGCTGATTCACCAGGGAACTTGTTAAAGTGGGTGACTGAGTGAACTGGCTCTGTGAAAACAGAAGCTGTTTCACCTGCTTCCGGAACTCAACATCCTAGTCACCCATCAGCAGCTCAAGTGCTTATCGTATCTCACCATCCAAGTTTACCTTGCTTCTCAGGAGATGAAGGTAAACGTAATGTGTCATAACATTTGTGGAGATACGTGGTGTCATCTAGAAGACTTAGTAGAAAGTGGTGAGGTCTCTGAACACCAACAACCTCCTTTATTACATGCTTTGGACATGACTCAAGCCATCAGTCAAGGATGTCAGGAGGCACAAAACAGATTTATTCTTAGATTTTGATGCCTTGCAAAAAGAACAGCGTCAGATTGACCAGGATCACAATCAACGCAGGGGGAAAGGTAAAGTCCAAGGTGAAGAGTCTGCCACAAGTATGGCGGCTTATTGATGCAGGGTCAGGATGGACCACAGTCGTCAGCATTTAAACGGGAGATGGCCTGTGCGAGGGGCTGGCCCGAAGGTCTCAAAAAGCAACAGACTGATCCTCAGAGATATGATACAAAAGCACTTGTAGGAATTTCAAATGAAATCGATATCTGTATTTAAAGAATAAAGTGCTTCATAAGACACAGGTGCTACAATCTCTACAAAGAGTTTGGCATTTTATTATTATGACAACATATTTCTCTACTATTCCCATCACACCCACTACAAGTGTACAGCCCCTACTATATACAGGTTACATTCAGGTGGACTTAGAGGTCGACGGTATTGATGCTGAACGCTAGTTTTTTTGCCTGTAGGTCCTACTACTTACAAGGTACCAGTTTTACTTAGCACCATTATAATATCTGTTTACTTGGTAACTTGCAGACATATAGCATAGGGACAAGTTTCTAAGAGATGCGAACCTTTACACGCCTTAGTATTTCACTTTCAGGTGTATGGTGCTAAAGAAATAAGATCTTGTG